TTTCTTTGTGTTCTGGAGTCATTAGTGGTGTTATAAGACTCATAGTTAGGATTGGGGATTTGAACAAACCTCTGACCCGTCATGTAACTCATCCCGCACTGTTTGTGTAACGGGCCTGAATCAAATCTCAAATTGGACGTTTAAAAAAAAAAAAAATTTTTTAAGCTCTCTAGGCAATTATTTTGCCTTGGTGCTAGATGAAAAGTAAAAACAAAAATCCCATAGGTTTGCATTTCATCATAAAACACCATTCAGAATGCCCTAGCCACTTCATAGCAAAGGAATATTTTAGACAAAAATTTACCTTCAGCCCATCCAAGATGTAGATGAGTTTATTTCTGCATCAGAACAGATTTGGAGAAATTTAGCATCACATCACATCAAGTCAAGTCAAGTCAAGTCACCTTTATTTATATAGCACTTTTAACAATACAGATTGTGTCAAAGCAACTGAACAGCATTAATTAGGAAAATAGTGTGTCAATAATGCAAAATGACAATAGTAAACACAAATTTTTCAGTTAAAGACAGTTTTGAATTCAGTGATGTCAACATCCAGCTCAGTTTAAAAAGTATCTTTGCAATCATGTCAACAATATCGCTGGAAATGAAGTGTCCCCAATGGACACATCACCAATGGATCCTCTGCAGTGAATGGGTGCCGTCAGAATGAGAGACCAAACAGCTGATAAAAACATTAGAATAATCCCCACGTAGCCTAATCCACACCACTCCAGTCCTTCAATTAACATTTTGTGAAGCAAAAAGCTGCATGTTTGTAATAAACAAATGAATCATTAAGTCGTTTCAACTTTAAACCGTCACTTCTGGCCAAAATACGGGTCTATAATCCATAAGAACAGCATAAGAACAACCATCCCCTGTTGTTCTCTCACATCAAAATCCACCAACATATTTGTTTACAACAGTTTTAGACTCGAAACGGTGCTTGATAAGTGCATATTTCTCTCCTGATTCAGATGATTTTTCACTGCAGAAACCAATATTATGAATAGAGGACTTTTAACCAGAAGCAATGGTTTGAAGTTAAAAAAACGACTTGATGGATTTATTACAAACACACAGCTTGTGGTTTATTTACATAACTTGTGGAATATTGTGATGTTTTTATCAGCTCTTTGGGCTCTCATTCTGACGGCACCCCTTCACTGCTGAGGATCCATTGGTAAACAAATGACGTTAAGCTAAATTTATCCAAATCTGTTCTTTAACAAACTCATCTGCATTTTTGATGGGCTGAGGGTGAGTAAATTTTCAGCAAATTTTCATTTTTGTGTGACTTGTGCAACGTCACTTCTGTCTTGGCAAACTCACAGAATTTGCATTGTGGCATCAGGTTTTACACAAGAGAAAAGTTGATTTGCAACTCATAAATGCAATGAAACTAAAACGGAAGAATGTACAGTAGTGGCCAAAATTGTTAGAACACCTGACAGATCTAAAAATATTAACCGTTTTTTTTGCCTCCAAAACATGATTTCATTTCATAATGTTCGTGAAACATGCAGATAGTTGCTCTGGGCACAACAAATAGCAGATGACGTGAGTTGTACAGTTTTTATCCACTTTTAACTTTAATATTTGGTATGTCCACCTTTTGCAGCAATTACAGCAGCACATCTCTCTGGCATAGTGTCAATATATTTCCTGAGAACGTCAACACTAATGTTATCCCATGCCTTCTGCAACTGAAGCCAAAGACTTTCCTTTGAATGTACAATAGATCTGTCCAGTTTATTTTCCAACTCGCCCCAATTTTGCTTGATGGGGTTGAGGTCCGGACTTTGAGGTGGCCAGGTCATCATTTTCAATGTTCCAGCAGATTTCTTCCGTCGCAGGTAGTTCCGGCAATAGTTTGTTTTATGGGTATTGTAATAGACAATTCAACAAAAACGAATTGTTCTAACGATTTTGGCCACCACTGTATGTAACACTTACTACGAGGCAACACATCTCTTCAGTTGAGATTAGTTATGAGGAATGAAATCTATGGCATTTGTTTCTTGAATTAATAAGATTTTCATCATTTCAGGAGAACATGCATTGAGGAATTATTGACAGCTGTAGCCACAATCTACTGCACAACAAATGGATTCATTCGCACCTTTTTGTAGCAAGACAAAGATGAATCCTGAGGTTGAAAATTGACGATAGACAAAAGCACCATGGGGTGGTGAGACGAGGATGTTTAGAAAAATACATATAACAGCTTTTTTGGAGAACAAACGTTTTTTTTATCTTTGCACTCATTTCAGGGTGTTACTAGATAGGGACACACAATATATCAGTGGCATATCCGTATCCACCAAAATTAAAAAAATGTTTGTATCGTTTATATTCATACAGGATAATTGCTTAGGGTTGTTGTTTGTTGCCCTAAAAATCACACTGAAAGAAGGAGAAGGATTTAGTTAATGTGAAATGTCCTCCGGGGCTCTGCAAAGTATTAATAAACTTATCAACTAGCCAAGTAGTTAGTTACTGGTTTCTCAATCGTGTAAGCAACTTGACATCGCAAACTTCACACATCTCCCAGCGGGTCAAGCGCGGGCCATGCCTAAAACTTTGAAACTTCAAGTGGCTTGTTTGTCATTTCTCCTCTGTAATTAAAAATGCTCATTTGAACGTCTTTCAGGCCATGAGAGGACAGAGAGAAGTGCCCTTCAGCTGTGCTCACTGGACCGCTCCTTAGGAGTGGCAAACACTTATCTCCCATCATGCTCAAAGAGTGGGAGTATGTCCCCTAGAGCGAGCGTGTCTTGTACGGGGCTAAGGTTGTTAAGGGCCCTTGGAATCATTTCTGCGTAGTGAACTGTGCTGAGCCACAGTCCAGGGAGAAACCACAAGAGGGAGAGTCCTGTAATGGGGTTTGTTCATCTGTGGAGTTGGTGGGTTCCAAGCAATTACTGATTAACGATCTTCAACAGAAATGGACAATTTTTTTCTTTTTTCAGAAAGTTTTATTTGTAAACTATGACTTAGTGAAGCTGTAATTTTTAGTTTTGCAGTGTAGCTTAAATATTATACGTTTTCCCTGACATGATGAGCTGTGATGCCTATGAGCGTCATGCATTCAAGTCCAGCTTGTAATATTTCCTGATCTTCTTTATTAATAAAATGTGCTAAAATAGCAAAACAAAAAACCACTCTTAAGTAACACTCATTCGGCAAGGATAGACTTATGCTTTAAATGTATTTAGTTATAATCACATTTTTAACTAAATTAAGTTGAAGCCTAAAGGTGCAGTCATATTTGTCCATTGTCCAGTGATATTTTTAGGGCAAAATCTAGTCATTTCAATAGGAATTCACTCAATTTCCCCATGCAGGTTTCACAGCGGATTCAAGTTTTTCACGATTTTCGCTGAGCTGACCTGCTTTGTTTGAAAATGACCTCTTTGTGGAATTTTTAACAGATTTTCGCTAATATGGCTGCACCTTAAGGAAAAAATGTACATTTTAATATTGCGATAATGTTTCATGTGTTTTTATTGTCTTTGATTCCTTTTCTTGCACAAAAAAGAACAAGGAGCTTTTTTTAAGCAAAAGTTTCAGTCCAGATGGTTTTAAAATCTTTCTCTCAGAATCATATTTTTCCAGATTATTAAAAGTAGAGTAGGTGATTTTTGAGAGTCTAGCAATAGCAAGCTAGCTTTAAAAGCATAAGACCCCACCCTCCCTGCAAATCACTCTCCAAATCCACGCCTCCTCCAAAAAACATGAATGCGCACAAGCAGACCAGAGGCTAACCAGCGACACGATGAGAGACGGCAGTGTTGAATGCAATGCTGTCAGATGACCTCACAGTACAAATCGCATAATATTATAATAATAATACCTTCCATTCTCGCTCTGGTCTGCAGTTGCGTAATGAAACACGCTGATAACCTATCATGTATGCACATTTTGGGAAAAAGGGTTTATATTCTAACCTTAAAGGAACCTCTTAGTAACTAAAGTGTACATACTGTATGTACCATATTAGTAACTTTTTGAAAAAGTACCACCTCAGTAATAGCTTTTGTACCTTTTTTCGAGAGTGATTCTATAATGGATTTGCTGAAAAGTTTAAAAGTTAACATGCATTTTGGAAGTACATCATTGAATAAGATGTAGAATTAAAACAATTCACTTGAATGAAAAATTTAACAACTTTTACAATTAACCTATAAGACGAGTTTGAAAAGTAATTGATGTTCTGGAGCACATTTCACTGTGTGGGTTTCCATCCATCTTCCTGCCTTTCAGCTATTCTATATAAAGGTGCCATCAATCAAATCACAGCAGCCTACCTGCTCTTCCAGAGCTGAAGACATTTTCTACAGAATTCAGTCTTTAGAAAATACCTACAAAAGGGTTAAACTGAAAAGAATCCCATAGATTCTAAAGTTTAGACGTGTTTAATGTCTGTCTGCTGGATTTCCGTTCATTTGCTGTAATGCAGAGTTTAAAGGCAATGCACTGAAAAAAAGACAGAACCAATTTATTCTGCATTTATGTCAACATAATCATTTTTGAAAGAGGAAAACAAACAGAGAGAGCTAGAGAGACTGTGAAAAACAGGGCATGATGGTCATCTTCTGCAACAAAAGGTGGATCACTAATAGATAAAGTTCACTAGGAGCTTTGTGTTTGTCTCATATTTTAATTTCCCTCTCTTATACATTAATGGTTTTGGCGATTCCATTATGAAGGGAATTTGGAGGGGTTAAATATAAGATCTATTTGTGTTTGATGTAATCATGGTCTCTAGTTAACATTAATGATGGCTCAGAGACAAATACTGTATATATGAAATGTAATCTAATAAATTATGTTTTTTTTTTACAACACCACAAAACTGTATAAGGGACCCATTTCAGTTAATTTTTTATTTGAAATAGTAATATTGTCTTTAGAAAGGTACTGTAGAAAAATCGAATGAATATGCATTGAATTTCATTTGAATATGTATTAATGAATATGCTTTTTTTTTCAAGAACAACTTGAGGATGACAAATTACACAGTAATGGAGGTGAGGCACCGTCCGTTTCTCTTTCTCCAGTGCATTTGTTGTCATTGTGGTGTTTTTACGTATCAGTCATCTTCAGTACTCATTACTTTGAGACATTTCAGACTCACTTTGCTCTCAATCACACATATCCTTTCATCTTTCTGTCTGTTTGTCATGATAGATGCAGTCTGAGCCTCTTCACTGTTGACATCCTTCATCTGGCACTTGGTATCAAAACCCTTCCCTTCCCTTCCCTTCCCTTCCCTTCCCTTCCCTTCCCTTCCTTTCCCGGGCCGTCCTTTTGTGTTCTTTTCTCTTGTATCTTGTCATCTCATGCTGTTGCATCTCTCTTCTCTTTTTGTCTAGCGGTTGGCCAATTATACTGCCAAGTCTTAAATATTGTCTTTTTGGCATCTTTTAAAGTAAATCTGTTTTAATATTTTTTTTCCGAATATTTTAATTTTCAGTTCTATTATTTTAAATGATTTTAGCAAACGTTATGAAAAATATTTATTTTTACAGATTTAGTTTTTTATGAAGTATTTTAAATAATTTTCAAAATTCAAGTAATTTTCAAAATTCAAATAATTTTATTTGTTTAAACTGATTCATTTTCTAATTATTTTAGTAAATATGATGTAAAATAAATATTAATATTACAGTTCAGTTTATTTGTTTAAACTGATTCATTTCCAGGTTAATTAAAATGATTTTAGTAAATATTATGCAAAATTAATATTCATTTTATAGGTTAGTTTTGTTTTAATCAAGTTCAGTTTATTTGCTCGAATTGATTGATTTCAAATTGTCAAATTATTTTAGAAAATATGACAAAATATTCATTTTACAAATATATTTTACTAATGCAAGTTAAATTCCTTTATTCAAATTGCTTAATTTTCAAATGAATTATTTGAAATAATTTTAGTACATAATATTTAAAATAAATATTCATTTTGCAGATTTATTTTGATCAAGTTCAGTTTATTTGTTTAACTATCAGTTTATTTTCAAATGATTAAATACATTTAGTAAATATGATAAAATATTCATTTTAAAAACATATGTATTAAGTTTATTAAATTATTTCAAATTCATTCATTTTCATATTCATTATTCATTTAGTAAAAACTAAAAGAAATGTTGCTCATTTGTTATTTACTTGTCATTCAATTAAATTCAGTTAAATTTGTTTGCATTATATTATAAAAATCAACCTCTATTCTTGTGTAATTTTGTCTCATCTTTCGTGTCTCATGTCTTGGTTCATCTCATGTAACCTCCTCTCACTTCGTCTTTTTATTTCATTACTTGTTTGCTTCTCATCTCTTCTTTTCTTATTTGTCCTTGTCTTATCTTATCTTATCTCCTCTCCTCTCCTCTCTTCTCCTCTCCTCCAGTGTTTTTTCTCAAACTTACCTGTTCCTCTTTATTCTGGCTGGTACAAACCTCCATCTCTCACACTGTGTGTCCACAGGATCCAAGCAGGACTGGTCCATTCAGTGGCCC